ACGACGTCATTCGTGTTCAGCACTGTATATGGACCATCCGAAGGTGACTGTAATTTAGGACTCAGTCCTTTTCGTTGAATCTGGTTCCACAACCACACCTTGTCTCCTTTGTTGGATCTATGTCTAGTAGCTCTGATTTTATGGACAGATTTAACTTCATCATTGACTCCAAATAACGCTATGTCCTCAGATGTAGAATGCAATTCGTTATTTTTAAAGTCCAAGGAAAAATTGTATTTCCTTAAAAAGTCCAATCCGAGTATGCATGGATCTGTGATATCCGCCACATAAGTCGTGTGATGGTAGGCGGCACTTCCAAACGTGATGTTTACGTTTAACTTCCCAGTTATGTCGATCTTATCACCAGACGCAGTCTGAAGGGTAACACAGGATGGCGTCCAAATAAGTTTATCTTTAAACTGTTCAGCTAAATCTTTCCTAATGATGGTAACATTAGCTCCTGTGTCAATGATCATATTGCAAGGAACTCCGTCGATATTCCCATTAATGGACAGTCCGTTACTGTTGCCACTCACTGTATAAATTTTAAGCGCTTTAAAACAAGGTTTTTTCATTATCTGGCAACCTCCGTTCCTTGATATGGTTCACTAATTTGTTTACCTGCGTCGTTGCTGAGAAATGGTCTTATTTTTCCGTACCTCGGGTGTTTTTGCAGTTTCTTCTTCGTATGTGGCCTTCAACTCTGCAGTTCCAGCACTTTAGAACCAGTTTCTTTTCTCTTCTGTTCCGTCTCAAGCCACTGACTTGTCTGGTAAAATCATCTGCTTTATATTCCGTACCCTGGGGCGTTCTGCAATTCCGTCTTAGGTGACCTTCACTACCACATCTCCAACACCTTGGAGCCACTTTCTTCTCGCTCCTACTTCGTATCAAAAGCTTCGACTGTCTGGATAAATCATCTAAACGAGCCATCAATTGGTCCCCTGGGTCGTGGACTCGCACAGCTCTGACTGGGTAGCGATCTCTAAGAGTTGCTTGCTGGGCTGCCTCCAATTTCATGGCGTACAACAGAGCGCTTTTTATATCCTTTACATTTGCCATTCGAAGAGCTTTTTGTATTTCAGGATCCCGGATGCCGTCGATAAAATATTGCAGCGACAGGATTTCTCTTGTTTCTGTCGGGCACTCCGAAAAGGCGTGATGTGACAGCCTTTCAACATCCGTGGCGAGCTCCTGAAGTGTTTCGGTGGGCCTCTGCTGACGGGATTTTAGTTGAAGCCTGCTGTAGTCTTTCAAACACTTTTCACCAAAGCGCAGTTCCAATGCGCCGGATAGAGCTTCAAAGTCTAGTCTCTGGTTTTCGGGAAGTGTCTTGAGGATATCCGCTGCGTCTGCTCTCAGAGAAGCGGCGAGATGACAGGCCTTAGCTTGGGAATCCCATCCATTCGCATCCGCAACGATAGAAAATTGTGTCCTATACACCTGCCAGGAGGTCTTCCCAGCATATGTAGATAGTTTCAGAACGGAACGAGCAGGCATCGATAAAAATTTGAAACCTTCAGAATTGTTTCCTACCGTCGCTATGCACTTCTTTAGGCTGTTGTCAACTTCTTTGGGCGACGGCAGCAGAAACCCTATCATCAATTTGTTGTTCGACGGCAGAAACTCTCTCTTCTATATTTTTTCTTTTACAGAAGAAATTCTTTCTTCTACTTGTTCTTTTACCGAAGAAACTCTTTTCTTCTATTTGTCCAACTTTAGTTTCAACCGCGTCTATTCTGTTCTGGCCTTCCATAGCCTCAAATTTATTTTCTATTACGCAGGTAATTTCTCTTTTTCATTTCGTCCTGACCTGCTTTTATCTCATTTTTAAGAGATTTCATCTCTTCCTTAACGATTCCTGGCCCAATTTCATTTCTCCTTTAACGGATTCCTGGCCCAACTTCATTTGTTCCTGCGCCGCTTTCATTTCTTCCTTGAGGGATTCCTGGCCCAATTTCATTTCTTCTTCTTTAAATGAGGCAAAGGCTGATATTAAATGCCTTAATTGCTCTTTCCATCGCTCTTGTCTTGTTATTGGCATTCAAACCCCACTCCTGACACCAAAAATTGTTGCGTGCGTACGGGTTCGTTACGAAATGAATGCACAAGTCCGATGAAAAATGAACAAAAATTTATTATTATCACAACAGAAATGCTTAAATTTTCTCAAATTATCATGCAGTATCACAATATCTCACAGTAGTTATCTTTTAACTACTTAAATGTACAATAGAACGTAATTCAAAACAGCTAAAGAACGCTAATCCGCGAATTCGCTATAATCAACAACGGCAGTTTTCTAAACAACAACAAACTAAGCAACTACTACAAACTGAGATGTTTTCCTCCTTTTATAAGATTTTAAAATCACGCGCTAGAATTTTCCAGTACTTTCTCGAAATCAAAAAGAGATATTTATTTAACGCACGCGCTCTTGTATTTTTAATTTTTCCGGCTTAGCTTTCTTTTAATATTCGTCACGCGCTGCACTGCGCGAGAAATAAAACCATTTAATTTATAATTAAACTAACATTAGCTTTTTAAATACCAAATTCGTAACAGTATTGTCTCATTATGTGACGATCTTGCTAGGGTCAAGAGTCTAAGAGCATTCGGATGTGTCTGAAATAGTTTCATTCTATTTGTAATTCTGTTACAATATTAGCTGTTATTTTCACATCTTAATGAATTTTTTAAAATATCCACCTTCACAATAAACCAAAGTCACTTGACAGTTGCCTTAAAAAAGATGACTAACTGAATTCAGTTACAATTATTGAACCAGTGTTTTCAAATTTTTTAGTATTGCGACCATAGGAATAAATTTAATTTAATTGTAAACAGTGTTTAGAGTTGGAATTGCAAGTGACTCACAAAGTACATTTTCTGTTAAAAAAGAAGCTAGATGAATTTACTTCTTTTGGAACTGTCAGAAGCTGCGATGATATTCGAGATGCATTTTCTTTTAATACGTCTTTTGTTTCGGAACAAATATTTATTCTGAACGATTTTATTATAACTCACCTTTATGCAGAATTTTGATAGAATATTATTTTTACTTTAGGAAATTTAATCTTTTAGTTCATTGACATCACAGAGTTTGAACATCTCTCTGTCCTCTTTTAACTACAGTATTAGCTATCATGAAAAGATCTGAGATCGTAAATATTTTTCAATTATTTCTTTTGAAATTTCTTTTTTTAAATCTAAAATTTTCTGCTTTCCTAAATTTTGGGAGAGGACGAGGCCCAGTCCACCTCTCACTATGTAATCCCTTTAGGAAAGGGGGGTAGTTGCCATCATTTAAATTGTTATGCTGGTTGAAGTTCTGAGCCAACTTACTGTTAGAATTAAATATTGTAGTCTTGACTTCTAGCTTGCATTTAAAATTTTGAAAAGTGGTTGTTGATTATATGAGCATGAGATGTGCATTTTATGTTCAAGTTCTGATTTAAATAAAAGAATTGTTAAAACTTTTTTTTTTTTTTTTTTTAGTTCATTTCACTCACTGCAGTAATTCATGTACTGTCTGTTTGGAATTTGATGCTAGTTAATGCTCTCTAAAAAAATCAAACTTTAGAGCAAAATATTTGCTAAGAAACTGGCATCAGGTTATCTCGAAATGCATAGAATTGTGCCAGTTGAAATCTGCATCAAAATAAGTTTAGATTTCATTTTAAAACAGGTACCTGTTCCCAAATAAGAGATTGGCATTCTGTCAAAATATACAGTCGAAAGTCGTTAATTCAGACTCGTAAGGACTTCGCCGATTCCGGATTATAGATCATCAGTTTAAATCTGGTAAGATGGCATGCAGAAATTATAAAATTAAAAATATGAAACCGTAATTTATGAAATAAAGAACAATTATGATCTAAAGGGTATCAAAATTTACAAAAAGAAAAGGCTTTATATTTATTTGTTTACTTTATTAAACATTTCTTTCAATGTAAGTTGTTTAAGTTGCTTCGTTTTTATGTGATGATACATTCTCTTTAATTCTATAAACAGACATAATTTCTTGTTCAGTTACAAAGTTCCGCTGTTCAAGTCCTATAATTGCTGTGTCGAGAATAATTTGTCAATCAGTTTTTTCGTTTTCAATAATCTCTGTCACTTTCTTCGCTATCGGAAGCGAATTATAACGACGAGGAATTTGATTTAAATTATATCAAAGACGGAGTACATCGAGATGAAATACTACATTTAGTAAGGAATTATAAGCCAAATAAAATAAAAACATCTGCCCTGAAGATAAGGATAGTGCTGACAGATCAACTTCCAATTCATTGCGCGCCGCAGCGTCAAAGATAAACAAAGGATATGCCTTTATCCATTTTTTGCAGCAATTCCACTTTTTGTTTAATGGACTTCGAAACATACTTTCGCTTTGTAGATCCTTTACATATTAGTAAATATATATCAGAAATTCTATTTGACATAATCGAAAGTTCAAGCTTACTTTTATAAATTGCTCTAACAGTCTGCAAAAAATAATAAGCCGAATCCAATTCGAAAATTAAGGAACAACACAATCTGCAACATTAACTGAATTAGATAATTTTAGCTTAGCTTATACCGTCCGTTATACATTAAACGAGAATTCGTAAACGTATTTTGCGCACACGCGTATTTGCTTGACACATGCACAGAAAGTTTGTAGCTTTGAGGTCTGGATTATAGATCATTCCGGATTATGGGTGTCTGGATTACCGACTTTTGACTGTATGAAGATTTTTTTGCTAGAATTCAGCATCAAACTTAAGGTTATATTTCTGTTCATTATTAAGTGTTAATGTGAGAAAATGACAGAATGCGAATTTGAACCCGTGCTTATCTATTGTATATTAACAATAGAGAAAGCTATTGTTAATTTCTGCTGTTTGTTCTTTCAACTCAAACAAGTTGGTTCCCCCTTTTTTTAAATACTATAAAATCTAAATTAAAAAAGTACTACATGTTTTAAAACTTCATTGGAATGATCCTTTCTTTAACAGACCAAGAGAAGGTTGCTGATTATGAAATGAAACTTATGAACTTGGATACTGAACACTTAGGCATTCCTGTAAGTTATTTATTTCATGTAATTCTAATTTTATGTTAGATAACAGCTTTATAATATATGTAATAAATTTGTATTCTTATAGGAAACTGACTATAGTGTAGTTGTTAAAATGCCAGCCTCCGAATTTCAAAGAATTTGTCGAGATTTAAGTCAAATTGGAGATTCTGTCAGTATTGCATGTACCAAAGATGGCGTTCGTTTCTCTGCTAGTGGAGACTTAGGAACAGGTAAACTTTATATAAGTACTGATAATTGGTCTTCCTAACCCTTATTTTATTTACTTTTTTTAGTTAATTTTATTCTCATTTTTAAATTTAATTGATTTTTCAAAAAAAATATTCATTTTATATAAGTAAACAATTACATTTATATTTTTCACTAATTTAATCATATAATTTGAATATGATATAATAAAAATAATTGTACTTAACAGCTGCATTTGTCATTTAAATATATGTTCAGGATTCCTGGCATATTGACTTGCATAAAGATGGTCTGTTTGACAGAACACAGCCCTTCTCGAGGTTATCTCAGTAAAGTCCTTAGATTTTTTGGAATTGATTTTTGGTCCTTAAAAGTCCTTAATTCTGGCCAAAATCAACAGAAGGTCATTTTGAGTGTGAATTAGCATTTTGGAGTAATATTTTTGGCGATTTGCTGACAAATATGGTTATCTTTTGAATGTATTATAATTTGCTTCTATTTCTAATATAAATGGTGGGATACTCGAGTTTCTAAGCAGGAAGTGAAACATAAGCATTTTGAAATTATTTCATATTTTCTAATAAAGAGCTCTTAAACAACTTTTTGCTTTTGGGGATGTGAATTCCTTAATTAAACCATTCTAAATTTGGTGACTTATCAAAATTTTGGCAATCTCCTCTCATTCTTGTGTGGGTTTTTTTTTTTTTTTTAATGTGACAGTGGAACACTTCGCATTAATTTCTCACTGCTTGCGTTCCGACAGTATATTCTATGGTGGATATTGCTCGTATTGCCTTTTGTCACCCCTTTAAGTTTTGCCCACTTGTTCAGATTCACCCTGTATAACAATGAAGTAATATACCATTATATCATCAAAATTAAAAAGTTCCTGCAAATGAAATTTAGTTAAAATATTCATCTTGCATAATAATATGACAAAATTATAAGGTGATAGAGATAATATTTAAAACGTTACCACATAGAGGCTCTACAGATAAAATTATGTAACATTGGTAGTTGCATCCTAGTTTCCTCAGAAGTTCCTTGTGTGATTTTTGTAAGCTAATCCATTTAACTAAGTCAGTACGTCTGAGGCATTCTCAGATAATTTTGGTCAATCATTTATTCATAAAAGTTATCTGTTGAAAACCAAACTTAGAAAACATTTACATTTAATATCTTGTATAGAAAATACTTAAAAGTAATGTGCAAAATTTTAACACAAGTTGATTTTAATATTTACAAGCTTTAAGTTTAGTCTGTGATTTAAATATTTATAATTTTATGTTATTTTTATAGGAAATATCAAGCTTTCTCAAACTGCTAATATTGATAAAGAGGAAGAAGCTGTCATCATTGAGATGCAGGAACCAGTTTCATTGAATTTTGCTCTCCGTTATTTAAATTCTTTCACAAAGGCTACGCCACTTGCTGCACAAGTTCAGCTTTCTTTGTCACCAGATGTTCCCCTTGGTAAGAATATTGGCATTAATTTTTATATTGGGAAGACTTGCAGTATGAGCACAAGTGTTGAAAATGCATTGACATTTATATATGTAAAAGTTAAGAGTAAATGGCATGGTTTAGGATGCAAACATCGTAGTTTTTTGTACAGTAATACTCCAGTTATTGTAATTACTTGTTACTCTTTATATACCAAATAAAATTGTATTTATAAATTTTTCATTCATCGATCGTATTTATAAAAATTTCATTTCAAGTTGTTCAATAAGTTCACGGAGCGCCATCTATTCGTCAATATTATACCTAAAACTTCAACGCCATTTTCATATTTGTCCTTTCTTAGGAACACGTCAAAAGTTTCATTTCGATCTGTTAATTTATTCATTGTTTAACCGCCCTTTATATGTAACATGTGGTGCCTTTTTTCAAGTATGGATAAAATTGAGCAACGTACAGTTATCAAATTCTTTGTAAAGAAAGGTTTAAAGGCAATGGAAATTCATACCGAAGTGGTGAATGTGTTGGGTGAATCTGCTCCTTCAAAAACAATGGTTTGCAAGTGGGCTAGTTTATTCAAAAGTGGTCATACCAGCCTTGAAGACGATCCGCGAGAGGGACGTCCAAAAACTGCATCAATACTGGAAATCATCGAAAAAATACAAGATATGGTATTGGAAGACCGTCAATTGACTGAAAGAGATTTAACAGAGGCTTTAGGCATTTCATTGACCACAGTGAGCAATATTTTGAATGTTAATTTGGGTTTCAAAAAACTCTGTGCAAAATGGGTGCCGCATTCTCTAACAATGGAGCAAAAACACATTTGGATGCGACTTTGCCAGCAAGATTTGGAGCGTTTTAAGAAGAATAAAAGTGACTTTGTCAATTTATCACAATGGATGAGACTTGGGTCTACCATCATGATCATGAATCAAAACAGGAGGCTAAGGAGGGGTGTGAACCCGGCTCTTTGGCGCCGAAGCGAGTTCGTGTGCAAAAATCAGCCAAGGTGTTAGCATCAGTTTTTTTGGGATGTGAAAGGAATTTTTTTTTTTTTTTTTTATATATAATTACCTTCAAACTGGCAAAACAATTAATTTGAATTTTTATTGTAACCTTTTGAATCAATTAGACGAAAAAAATCGTGAAAGAAGACCCGGATTACAGAAGAAGAAAATCATCTTCCACCATGATAACGCACCTGCGCACACAGCTCAAAAAACCATTGCTGAAATAACTGAATTGAAGTACGAATTGTTGGAACATCTAGCCTATTCGCCAGATTTAACTCCATCCGACTTCTGGTTCTTCCCACACCTCAAACAATATCTCCGTGGAAAACTATTTTCTTCAAACGAAGAGGTAATAGCTGCCATGGAGCGATATTTTGCAGAGCTGCCGAAAAACCACTACAGTCAAGGGATCCATAAATTAGAAGACCGATGGAATAAGTGTATTGAAGTTAAGGGAAACTACGTTGAAAAATAAAGTCATTTTTACAAATAAAAATTGGTTTCTTCATTTCCGTTCCGCGAACTTATTGAACAACCTGATAAATGTCATTAAACGGTAAAATGGTATTATACATATTTTTTTAGATAATATTAAATTAATTTAAACAAATGTTTATGGCATCAGCATTTTTGTTTACAGAGTTGGCAAATATGATGTCTGTAATCATTATTGGAAAAACATATACATGTTGTATACATAGTGTATGAGGCCTAATATTTTTTACTTAACTCTTTGTAGCACTGCTTAACCAAAAAAAGAGCTTCTTTTCTTTAATGAAATAAAATAAAATGATGCAATGGTATTATGTGAAATACCTTTTCCCTTAAGAAGTTTTTATATCGGATCCCTTTCACTCCTTAAGTGAATTATCTCACAATAGGTAAATCATCAATTATTTTTATTGACAGTTTGATGTTTATTGTTCTCTTTTCAATCTTCTTCCTCTCCCCCCCCCAATACTTGAGAATAGTTTGTTTTCCCATGTGTAATCTTTGTTGAAATCGAATATAATGACAAAAAATAATAGCACTCCTTCCATTTGCATTGTATTAAAACACTGATCTTCAAAATTTGTCAACTTGGAGAATTCCTGAAATTAGTCTTTTTTTGGAACCACTGTCATCTTTGAAAAATTAAGTGTTAAAAAAGCACTGAAAATATATCAGTGTTCTGCACTTTATATGAATGGAGAGAAATTTTAAAATTTCTGTGTGAGTTCACATATAAAAGCAGATTTACTTCATATTATTTAGGTAACACTGACAATAGGAATAAAAAGTATATTTTAGATGATTAATTTTGTGGCTCAATGTGGTGTGCAAAAATTCTTTTGCATTTCAATTCTGACTTCTGAAGCCTCCAAGGGAGTTGTTTGGGACCCCAAGATTCTGTAGAGCATGGCTTGAAAATTACTGCTCTAAATGAATATCTATAACAGGGTCAATAATTTCAATTATCTGACTAAAAATAGGTGATCATCAAAATTTTGTATGTTAAAATATATTTTATATATCTTTACAGCATAATCTGACCATTAAGCTTCAACGGGTACACTTCTTAATATATACTTCTGTCGACACATATTGCTTCACTACTAAGGTAACAAACATACTGATATTGGAGATGTTTTCAAAATTTAATGTATAGCAAATATTGGGGGAAAGTTAAGATTTAAAACTTTGTGTGTCAGAGATGGAGATACTGCATTCATTCAGGTAATTAGATAAGCATTTGATAATTTAAATGTTTACATAGGTTGTGAATTGGATTTTTGATCTATATTTCTTTACAGATTATTATTTTATTTTTATGCATCAGGGAAGCTAAGTGTGTGTTCAGATTGTTGTTAATTTATGGTGTGATAAAATATTAATGTAACCAAAGCTGCTGCATTAGTTAGTACTGACTTAAGTTACAAATTTGTGTGATAAAATTATTTAAGCTTAGTAAGCCAATTTAAATTTTAAAAATCACTATTTTTGACTTCCCCCTTTTGATAAATCTTAAATTTTTATATGCCTAGTGTCTGAAAGTAATAGGTTTTATGACTGGACTGTGTCTTAAATTTGCATACTTTGTAAAGTATTGTTGGTAATTAGTGCTAGTATTTAGGCATGATTATAATTCAGTATTAATTAATCCATTCTAGGTTTTGTTTTTCCCTTATCAAAATGCTGTGCAAATATTCTGAAATTTTATTTTGAAACAGCCATTTAGTGTGAGAATTTTTTTCCCTCTCCTTTGGAGTTCTTTTAAATTGAATGTACTTTTATGAGTTATTTGCATTTGCAAACAGAAAGCTAAGCTTACAATCTTAAAAAAAATCACAGTTTATATACATGAAAATATAATAGTAATAAGCTACGGTATTTTTTAATCATCAAACTAAATAATAATAATAATTTTCTACTGAAAAATTAAATATTAGAAAATATTTTTATACCATTGCCACATAGAAAAAAGCTAAGCATAATGAAGACACGTTGTATTTAACCATATGCATAATGCATAAATAATTCTGTTATTAGTTGGTGTAAATATTTCATTTACATATAATTCATACATTTTTATGTTGCACTGTTTTCTAACGTTTATTACTGACCCTTAACAAGATAAGCAATTGTATTTATTGAAGCATTTTTTTAAATTTCAGTTGTGGAATATAAAATTGAAGAAATTGGCTACATAAGGTACTATTTGGCTCCAAAAATCGAAGATGCAGATGATTAGTTTTTAGACTTCTGCTACACCTCTGAGGATTCGATTTTTAAGTGTCTTTTATGATACTATCATCATTGTGTAATTACATGTAAAAGAAATCAGTGTGTAATAATTATTAATTTGTGCATTTAATCATTTGATAAAACATTAAATAAATCATTTGAATGCTTGTATATTTATTATTTGTTTAAATGTAAAAATACTTTGATTGCTAATTGATTTGTAGCTGTGCAAAAGCTTGGGGCTAATGGATTAGTTTATTAACATTCAATTTATTTAATATCAGTCTTTTCTTCTACGTTAAAAATATGACATATATATAAAGTATCATTTATTTCAGGTTAAGATTTTTAAATTTATATACACAGGGGTGTTTGTGGGACCCCAAAAAATCCCCTGAAACTTTTACGGACTTACTGCCGACATTTTGGAGTTTCGAGAAGGGGGGGAGAGAAATGAAAAATTACAATTATGAAGTATTGAATGACCTAATTATAAAAGTTCAATGAATTACTTTTTTTGCAAAATTAATAACCATAAATTTTCAAACATATAAACTACTACATTTTATGTAAATATTTTTAATTACCTGGATTAATTCTTTAAAAAAAAATTATCTAATTTCTGCTGCTTTTTATTTTCTGATGTTTGTGGGCTTGTCTTTCTTTTGTGGTGAACTTCATAATTGCAGGAAGGTTGACTTTTATTTTCCTCATTTACAGTTGAAGAAATTTCCTCGAGAACTGCACATGCAGAGGTAGAAGCAGTTTGCTTTTCTGCTAATGTAGAAGGTTTTTCAGAGACTTTTATAGATGACTCATCTGAAATACATGTTTTTAAGTCCTCTTGATGTGTTTTCCAACGTCTGTTCATATTCAGTAAGAGATCTTTGTGAATTGGATCAGTCATTGGATTTTTTTAGCCATATTTTTCACATGAGGTTTCTTTAGAAGCCATTAAATCATATTTAATTGTCTGCACTGCATCTAGGGAATCAATCTTAAGAGAGGTTTTATAGTCAGTGACAAGTGTATCCATTAAGTTGAATGCACTTTCCACTCATGGGCCATGGAAGCAGCTAAGGCAGGCTTTGACCAATTTAGCCAATGTAGGATACTTTGAATCATTTGTGAAATCATCTTCTAATTAAAAACTTTAGACCAATATTTATCAATTGTACACTTGACTTGATTTCCACTTTCATCAGATGTGTAGAGCATTTCTTTGGTGATATCAATATCACTCTGGTATAACCTTATTTCAGCTTCTACTTTTGACTTTTCATTATCACTAAAAATAAGGGACATAAAAGATGATAATTTTTCAAAAGCTAATATTGTACTGGTTTTACCTCTTAGCTCTGGATCTAATGCTGTAAAACTAATTAGATATGAATTTTTAAGGGGTAATTTCTCTTTCATATGCTGTGCTGTATTAGTATAAGCTTTCATCAGAAAAATTTGGAATTCTTTTGCTATTGGATGATTTTTTGATAATTTCTTCAGGAGAGTGGAAGCTTCTGCACCAGTAAATATTACTTTGCTAGGTAGATGGAATTCTGGATTTGTGACATCAACCTTTAATACATCATTATAAGATGTGCACTCTATATTTTCTGACTTCATAAAAAAAGAGAAAAATTTTGCCATCAATTTATAAATACTGGAATGTATTAAATGAAGCATTGGTTTTTTTGTTTCAAATAATTTAATATATGTGTTGAACTCTGGTAATACTGCTGAATATAATGCCATATGCAATAAAGTTTTGTTTTGCATAACAAATAACCCATTTAGTATTCTTTTTTTTTTTTTCCGAGATAAAGCATCCTTTGTGAGTTGTTGGGAATGCAAGCAAGAATACACCCCTTCAACAATTTTTTCTGAGCTGCAGAAATATTTCTTTTATTGTATATAGTTTCAACATAAGAAAAATAATCGCCTTTATCAGTTTTATCCAAGTAGTGAAAATAAAATGCAATAAGAGCATCCCACAGATCTTTGATTCTTTCTAAAACACATAAAATGTTCACCCACCTATGGTCTGGTCTCTTCAAGGGCTTAAGTTTTTTAATGGCAAGGGATTCACAGATTTTGAAAAAATTTTCTCTTTTACTGCAGCTTTTCATATCAAAATAGATGTCATCAAACAAATCTTCTAAGTATCTATCAAAACATGAAGCAAATATTTTTTGCACAGTTATTAGCTGTGTGACATGTGTCACCATCAGTATCTAATAAGTGGGGTGCTTTGTTTGATCGTAGTCTGGTTTCAACACCCTTTTTTTTTCCACGCATGGTGTTACATGAGTCCATTAATACACTAATTAAGTTTGCCCATGGAATATTATTATCTTCAATAGTATTAACAACTGCTTTAAAAACAGCTTCTGAATTGCAAGATTCCATCTTTAGAGATGCAAAATGATGAACATCTACTTCATTTTGATTGTTGTCATAAAACTGCACCAATATTGCCAGTATACTTTCTTGAGCATTGCTAGTACTTTCCTCCAAATTTAGAGAAAATGGAGTCTCCTTTAAAGTTTTAATGATATTTTCCTTAATAGTTTTTGCTAGCCCATATTTCATCTTATAACATGCAGTAGTCCTGGACATTTCCAACGAGTTTAGTGCCGTCTGATCGCGACTCAACTGTTTACAGAGTTCAATTAAATTGGGAGCTACATTGAAAGAAAGAGAATTCTCGGCGATAAACGAAGTTATTAATACCTCTTGGCGTGCTTTTCTTGTCACTATATCCAATGGCCGAGCATCAATCTCCAGTAAGTCATCAGTATTTTTTGAATTAGCATAATTACTTAAAGTCATTGAATGTCTAATGCACTTTGAATATTTTATGTGCGTCACAGTTTTAGAATCATTTGTGAAAGCCTTGACTCCTTCCCCACCATACTTCAGCAGTGAGTTACAAAAAACACAATATGCTTGTCCAGCAACATTTTCTTGCACCATGTGCCGATGGTATCCCCATTACCATCTCTCCGTTCAATCCAATTCCACCTAAATGCATTCCGGACACCTTCTTCTAATTGTATAATATCACTATTTATATCGAGAAATTTCATAGTTAAATTCTCTTGCATACATAAATAAAAAAATATTTCAATAAACGAAACGAAAAATTTTACACAGCGGAGAAAAAAAGTTGAGAAGCAATCAATGACAAATAGCTAATATGGCGAAAAATCACCCTTCTCTACTTATTGGCGCCACGCCAGGAGAGATAAGACCTTTGAACCCAGAGTCACATGATCGCACATCTGGTCGAACGATATCTCTCCCTTTTTTTCTGCAGCGCCTACTTGCCGAAAAAAATCCAGAAGAGAATGTCCGAGAACCGGGGGAATGAGTCATAACTCGCAATAAGGAAAGAACAAAAAAGAAGTTTTTTCCCCCTTTTCGCGCATTATCACTGCCTTTGGAGAAAGAAAGGAAAAGTTTTCACCACACACACTGACCTTGCGTTTTCTGCTTTCAAAGCAAACAAAATTACCCAAATCAAAATAAATAATTCATTATTATTCCTACTTCCTTTTTGAACGACGATCCCCGGAATTTCCGGGTATCGAAGTTCAAAATCCCCGGAGCACAAACACCCCTGTATACATGTACATTTGCATATAAATTGCTTGATTTTCAATTTATATTTCAAATTAAGGTAGTCAGTTTATTATTTAAAGTATATATACATGGGGCATTTGAAAGAAGTGGTTTAATTCAAGACTTGCTTATGCTAGAATTCTGACATCTGTTTTTATCATTTCATATACACATGCAATGCACATTAGGAATGCATACAATTTGGCAATTAGAGGAAATAAATAATATTCCTGCCTTTTTCTTCCACACACATTTAATAAGTTGAGGTTATGTAAACGTACCTGGGGGAGGAAACTCTGACTTTAAAGACTCGTGGTAATGATAAAACATTACCACGAGAGAGAGCCATTGTGCACTGGTATAGTACTACAAAGTTGAGTATTCAGCTCCATTATTCTCACACAGTTTTTTTAAAAAATCTTGCTTTTCAGTGGATGAGATTTTATAAAATTCACCACTTTTTAACACCTGATTCAGTGCAATACTCTGATGCTTTGATGCAAGCGCTTCTTTATGAATAATGTGATGGGTCCACAGTGTATTTGGTGATGCGCTTTAAATAAGTTCCTGTAATCCTCCAAAACAGCCAGACATGGACCTAGCTCCATCAGTACAGACACCAGCACATTTAGGCCAATTCAGATTATTCCCAAATATGAATGCATCAGGAATCTCAAACAGATCCTGAGCCTTCGCTCCTGTAGTGATATTTTTATCCACAACTAAATAATTATGGATAAAAATATTTTAGGAATATTTTTTCCAATTATTTTTCAATTTCTGTTTTAGATTGTTTAAGTAATCTTTATACTATTTTCGGTTAAATTTTCGCAAAAATACCCTAAAAAGTATTCTGGTTTCAGAATTCAGATTGTATTTTGAATTAACTAATTCTGTTGGACTTCTGGAATATGAAAAAATTGTCTTTCCCGAAGTTATACAGTGTAATCCCTCATTGCCGGTCAATGTCGACAATTTCAAATTCAACTGTTTTGTTTTGAAAAATATGCCTCTTAATGCAGAATATCTATGTCTGTACAGTATTAAACCACCATTTAATAAAATAGTAATAGGTCTAATAAAATATATGAGTTAAGGTACTGAATAAGTTTACAGAATTATACCGGTTTATAAATGTAAATTTTATTTAAACTTACGTTATATAAATTTACGCAGATACATAATGCTTCTTACTGCTATTGTTTCATTCTAGCATGCTGCTATTGCCACTGCTATGGAATCTGCTTCTTTTTGACATATTTGTACAATTTTAAAACCTTCCAAGGCTGGAAAACCACTATGAAGTTCCCCCAAAATTATCGTTATGCATGTTCTTGGGCAAATTATAGAAGCATTTTCCTAAGAATCTAGCAATGAAATTGTTACTTTGGCTGCCGATTTGTTTTCAAACCAAATATCATGCATAAATTGCTTATCTGATAGAAAATGGGTTTTCGACTACAGAGAATAAAATGACCTCTGAAAGTCGGTACACACGAACCCAAATTAAACATGATACACTTAACTTAAGCAGCAATACAAATCGTTCT